AAAGAGTTTTAGAAAAATTTTGCATGAGGACCGTTGAATCAATAATCGTCAAGCGATCTGAGCCGCGAAAAGTTCAAGACAAACATTTCTAACTACTTTATTATATAGATTGGACTGCATAAGAAATTGGCCTTTTTGCCATCAAGACCCTTTTATTAAAAAAACAATAAACTCAAAACACATATTGAAAAAACATTTAAAAATTTAAATCCACACAACTAGAAGGCTAAAACAAAGATAAATCCAAAAACTAACGCCTTCTGATCAACACAGATGCAACAATTCTCAACATGCAGAATTAACATTTCAGATCAATAATTATCTCTGAAAATTTCATAACTTTTAAGTGATATACACAAGTGAGTCTCACATGATCAACCTAAAAGAGAATTGAAGAAAAAATTAATTAGAGAGAATCTGAATTCGATTGAATGCAGCAGGTCACCTAAAGGGCAGTCAAACAAATAAAATAAGAACTGGGAAAGCAATTTAACACTTAAAAGAATGCATGATCAGAAAACGGGCTCCTTATCCATTGGTTTAACCCCTCTTAAGAATCACAAACTTTTAAGGAATAATTGCATGCATTGCCATTACATAATCATAACAATATCAATATGGATATGATATCAATATGACGAATGAATGAACAATATCAATATGGATGTATTTCTGCAATGTATTTTTTTTTTCTGTACATTTTAATGATGTTCAGAATGATAAGCTGAAATTATTTTCAGAAACTGAAATGTTTTTATGTTCAGAATGATAAACTGAAATGTTCTAAGTCGACCATGTTTTTATGTTTTTTTCAGAAACAGAATGATAATGTTTATGTTGCAAATGGAATTTTTCTGCTATTTCTTGTACAGTGATTATGCTATTTCTTGGAAAAATCCATTCACTGAATCAAAGAGAGTTCTATTGGGAACAAAACAAGGAAAAGCTTTGCACACACCCACTCACGGATTTGCACATACCACACTCACATTTACACACACAAATTGCACGCACACACTGTTTTAATTTTGATTTGATTTTGGTTTTTGGGTGGTGTCGGTGGTGTTGGGTTCAATCAATGGCGTATAGGATGACATAGGGAAGGCCGAGTGCTTCTTCATTTAAGACAGAAATTGAGAGTCTTTACAATCCTCACCGAATAAAGCTCATACATTGAATCAAAGCTCATGCACCGATTCACCGAATAAAGCTCAGAATGAGTACTCACCGAAAAAAGCTCAGAAGCGGTCGGCTGTGAGGAGCGGGACACAGAGAGAGATGGATGGAGGCGGTTGGTTGTGACTGTGAGGAGCTGCTGCTGAGTGCAGCGATCAGGCTGATCAGCGATGGGTGTGGCCTTGTGGGTGTCTGTTTCACTGTGTGTGTGAGAGAGAGAGATGGAGAGATGGAGGCGGCGGCCGAAGGCTGATCGACGAAGAGACGAGTAACTTAGGGCTTTAAGCCTTTAAACTTTAACTGGACTGAGAGTATTTATCTACATATATATTTTTTAACAGGTAAAATGGAGACGGGGCGGGGTAAACGTAAGTTCATCCCGGTCTTTATTCCCGCATGAGTTTATATGGGTATTTTTATATACATCTATCGTTCAATACGTATAGTTCATCCCAGACCAAACGTGACGGATTTAGACGAATACCCGTTTTTCTCCGGTCTACTGTCATCCCTTCTCTACCCCTCCGGTGAAACCGAAACCCACCCCCACCCAAACAATCCACCTCCCTCCTCCTCCCCCCTCCGGTGAACCAACCTCCCTACCCCTCCGATGAACCCAACTCTTTCCCCCTCCAATGAAACTAAAACCCACCACCACCCAAACAATCCACCTCCCCAGTGAAAGCTGAAACCAACTTCCCTCCCCTCCAGTGAAACCGAAACACCAATACACCGGTAAAACTAAAACATCCATACACACCACCCTCAAAAAACTACCCCTCCTTCCCTCCTCCGATGAAACCGAAATCCACCCCTAGTAATAGGCCCCAAACAGTCTCAACCCTATAAGAAATCTACTCTCTATTGGGCAACACCCATTTGGAGAAACAAAACAAAAAGGTGAAATTCATTTGAATAGAATTTAAAAAACAGAGGTTTATCTCATGCAAATACTTTCCATAATTTCTAAGCAGCAGATAATTTGTGAGATTTACCTTTAAAATCTCCGAAACAAATCATGATCCATTCGATGTTATCCACCTCCAGTTTTATGTTCATCGCAAAAAAATGCAAAACCACAAAGAAATTGCGTATAAAACAATATGTTGTTCAACAAGTGAGAGAGTGATTACTTGTTGAGGCTTTTGCAATGCAAACAAAGCGAGGGAGAGATAGACGCTCATACAGTAGAGCAGTATATGTAACAAGTGGAAAAGGAGAAGCCATGGAATCGTTCAACTTCTAATGGTAATTAATGTAGAACTGCTATATGAAGAGAATAACAAAAGTCACGTAAAAGAGCAATATCATCTTTTTGTATTATGTGAGGGGCATTATAGAAATTCAAAAATGATTGAAACCAAGTGGGTGGGGATAACTGAAAAATTAAAAAAAATAAAATAAAAATTTTGAAGAATAACTAACATTTTATAGTAGTCATAAATAAATTATGTGCGTTACACATGAATAGTTTTGTACACAAAAAAATTAATAAAAAATATTAGGTATACATATGCCTAAATTAAATATTATCTTAAATATACCAAATTTATTTTTTTATCGCTCAAATTGTATTATAGAATTATGAAGACTTTGTCTGTCCCAACGATTCATTGGTCCCTATATGAAAATTGATTAAAAAAATAATTAAAATTCTATTTTTTTAAAATTTTGGGATTGAGTTTGATTTTTTAGTGATGTTTGAAAAATTAAATTTTTTGAAATTCATTTGATTAGGATTGTACTTATAATTCATTGATTAAAATAAAAAAAATTATCACTAATAATATTAAAATATTACTATATTTAAGAATTAGTTATGTTAATTAGGATAAAATATACTACTACCTATAATGATGCATATATTTTTTAAGGCTAATATAGTCAATTTAAAATTTTTATAGATATTGATATTTACACATAGAAAATAAATTATTAGAATAGATGCTAGAGGATAATTTGGAGATTTAAACGAACAAGGATATGATTATAATTTTTTAATGTTTAGACACTTTTATTACTAGTTTACAAATAAATACATATATGTATTTGTGTATGAGATTAATTGTTGGCATTCTTCGGTTCGAATGCTCTATTTATATCTGTGTGTACTAGATTTGGAGTGAATGTCTTTCATAAAAAAAAAAATCAAAAAAAAAAAAAAAATAGTCTCGTACTCTCGTTTATTATATTTGTGTCTATTTTTATTATTGTTGTAAAGCATTTTAATCAAAAATTAATAAAAATAGTCACAAAAATAATATATTTTTTTAGTTGTAAAGTGACTCACAAAAATTATAAAAATATTTATTAAAATAATAAATTTTACAGATATAGAACCAAATTTTTTTTATCGGTTCCTTAGTCAATTCCAAAAAAGTTAAAACCTTGTTAATCATGCTCTTTGACGCAAATTAAATACTAGTATAATGAGTAATTTCCTTATACTGTACTTGCACCACCAATTAGGTACAAATCACACTTCTTCTACTAGTCATTTATTTTGAGAGGGAAATTACAAAACAAAAACACATACGAAAAGAAAGAATTAAAAAAAAATTAATTCAAGAATAAATTTCACTGGCATTCTCTAGATATAAATTATATTTTAGACACCCCATCTAATTTTTAAAATATTAATACATACTCCCGTACTTTATAAACATATTTCACAAATTATTCCTACCATCTAATGCCATTACTCATAAGCAAAAAATGTGTGATGTAATGGCTTATTCTTTTATAAGTTACCAAATTTACCATTGGCCATATAAAACAAGTTTAAAATTGTATGACACATCCTTTTAGTATTAATGCTAATTAAATTAAACAGAATATGTCCTATTAAAAAAATTGGATTAAACAAAAATTTAATTAGGTGATAATTTTTAAAATAATATTAATTTGATAAAACTAAATATTAATTAAAAAATTGAATGTTAATTTTATAAAAATTGAATGACTATTTGATATTAATTTGATAAAATTGTATGTTAATTTAATAAATTGGATGTTAAATTGATAAAATTAAATATTAATTTGGGGTTAATTTAATGAAATTAAATTTTAAATTTGATGAAATTAAATAGATTTAATTTTAATTTTATAAAATTGAATATAAATATGATGAGATTGAATATTAGTTTACTGAAATAAAATGATAATTACATAAAATTTAACATCAATTTCTCATTAATTTTGATAAAATCTTGTATTAATTTAATGAAATTGATAGTTAATTTAGTGTCAAGTGGATCAAATATATTAATTTGGTAGTTAATTTATGAAGTTTAATGTGATTGGTATAAAATTGAATGTTAATTTTATTAAATCAAATATTAATTTGATATTAATTTAATAAAATTGAATTTTAATCAAATAAAAATTGCTAATTTGATAAATGTAAATGTTAATTTAGCAAAATCTAATGTTAATTTTGCAAAATTTAATGTTAATTTGATAAAATTTAATGAAATTAAATATTAATTTAATAAAATTATAAATTAATTTCGTGTTAATTTGATGCAATTATTTTAATAATGATAATATATGAAATAAACATTTAAACTTATCCAATAAAAAAAAATGTTTGTGATCTGTTTTAGATTAGGTGATAACATGGGATAAAACATAAAATAAAATCAAAATCAAATCAAAGAACACTCCTATAAAATAAGAATTCTAATAAAGGTAATTAAGTAAAATCACATTCTCAATTAAGTCTGTTAACCGACAAAAACTAACAACGATATGTAATGATATTTCAGAAAACCGACAAAAACTAACAAAAATATATAATATTTCAAAAACCGGAGTGTTTGTGAAATATGACTTAACCAACATCCAAACCCAACCAACACAGCTAGCCTTTACCGTTCACAAGAATAAGAAGCATAAGTAGTGCATAACTCTCTCGTAGTGACTTCATAGTTAGCCTTGGAACCATGTTTACTACTAAAAGTAACAACAGGCTTCCATGAAATAGGGAAAGACAAATTAGTGAACGAGAAACTAATAATGATACCGATCCAAATCTACCAACACTTTTTTTTTTTCGGGGTGAGGGAGAATAGACTTGAACCCTTGACCTCAAGAAGACAAAACCTTGACAAGATAAAGAGTTTTTCCCTACAATACGAAGATAATTTTCTAAAAAGCTAATAACTAGTTTTTACTTTTCAGTAAAAAAAAAGGAAGTCAATGAAGAACAAATATTTGTTCTGTCATGATTCAACAATTACTTACCCCAACAAATTGAAGTCGTCGTATAACAATGGGTGAGAAATGAAATCCAAAGAAAACTAGCATTGAACCTTCAATGCCATTACGAGCCCCGTCATTGTTAACACCCATCTTTAGCATCTGTGACAGGTAAATTTACTGGAGCTTTCGGCCCAGGAAGAACTTGCACCGAAACAGAGTCCAAGTATTAGCTTCCAAGAGATATATACTGCAACATAGAGTTGGGCAGGGAGTTCCTGCTCTGCAAATTTACTCATGATCCATGTGATCACCAGAAAGGTAGACAGCTTGATTTGGTTTGGAATTATTCTCCTTGCGTAGAATTTGCCTGCCAAACTTCTCTCATATCCTCCAAACAAATTGATGCTGTAAACTACATCAGAAGTCCTTTGCAGCAAAGCTACATGATTTCAGATAGAAACTGGTGCCGGAGTCACTTTGCAAACCTCTGTATTAAAGCCACAATCCATTAGAAACAGTAGCCACGCACGCTGCTGCTCAGAAAGCCGATCCCTGGGGCCTTTAACTTCAACAAGCTTGGCTTCACCTCTATAATCTCCATGGAAGCGCCATAGCAGTAAATCAGGCATCCCACTAGACCAGCTCCGATAATCTTGTGCCAAGTGCCGGCACAATGAGGCCAGACAAGGTCCCCCAATGCATGTAACAGCTGCACGAAGCTCAGACAGGGAATGCTTCTCCCAATTGACTCCCCTACATGCTGTTCCTTCATGTAATCCCCATGAAGTTATGAGGATCTCCTCAGCCATGCCATCATGAATCTTTTGTAGGAGAGGTTCTGTAAGGCTCTTTCTGGCTTCATAAAAGCCGTCGGTCTCCATATCCAAGGGGGCAGTCTGCAAAAGGAAAGTTATGCTCCGGAAAAAGAGGGCAGCCCAGACTTGGGATAGCAAGTAACTGAAATCATAAATCAGACACATATCATATCTTAAATAATAACTTGGAACATTTCCATAACATTTACATCAGAAACTTTCCCTCTTTTTCCCCCATTTTATCTTATCTTCACATTCTCAATGCAACCAAGCACAAAACTGGCATCTTAAACCAATTTTTAAGATAATTTCCTTCTATTTAAAATACCTATGCTAAATACAGAAGTTGGCAATGCAAATCTCAACTCTGCATTGTGCCAGAGCCATGAAGCTGGCAATTGAATGTCTGGCAACAGTGTAAAATAACTACTAAACTGAATTCAATTTACCTAATTTTGGATTGCCATTGTACTCTATTAACTGGCATATTTAATGTTTAATGGCACATTATCTGAATCAAAATTAATTTAAGTGTATCTCTACCTCTCATATTACCATTGACAACTATTACATCTCCCTTTTCCACTGATATATTATTGAGGTCTCGACGTCTCATTTAATTTATCTTATATTGATATTGCTTTTCTAGTTCTTGAGCATGCTACTTCTTAACTGTCCAACATTCTATACTGTAAAAAATTGCTCACCTAAAGATCATCTTGTAGAACTTCCCTTTAAGCTTTCTTAAGTCCTATATGTTGAACACATATACCTGATACATTCTACTTTTCTTAAGAGTGCTTCTTTATATTCTATTTTATATCTAGTCAAATTACATTCTCCCAAATTTAACAATTTCTCTCCAAACTTCTAAATTATTTTCAATTACTAATGTACTTTCTGTTAAGTTAGAGAGTTAACACAACATTAAAAAAAGACGGAGAGTGGTCAAAACTTAACCTACCTCTCACAAACTACTTGTATTTATAGTTGTAACTATACAAAAAACGTGCATACCCTCTAGTGATATACTTATTACAACTAATATTTACATAATACTCTTAACACTCCCCCTCGAGTTAGACTATGTATATCATCTAATCCAAATTTAGAATTAATAGTTGTAAGACACGTACAACTTGAGAAACATATCTACAAATTAATCCTCAGATCTCACAAATGGAGTCATATCTCCAACTATTATCTTGTCTCGAATAATGTGACAATCAACCTCTATATGTGATTCTCTCGTGAAATACTGAACTGACAGGGATATAAATAGTTGTCTGATTATCATAGAACAACTATAAAGGAGGTTGAACTGGAAAGCCAATTTCCTGGAGAAAGTGTAGTAATCACATCAACTCACTAGTTGTATGTGTTATTGCTTTATATTTAACGTCAGCACTAAATTTTGCTACCACCGTTTTTTCTTACTCTTCCAAAGACAACGTTATCTCCTAAAAAAGTACAATAACTAGTGGTTGGTCTCCGAACAAAAAGAGAGCCGACCCAATCAACATCTAAAAAACCTTTCACTCTAAGATATCCATTAACTCGATATAACAACCCAAGATCAAAAACACATTTGAAATATCACAAAATATGAGTGATTGCCTCTTATTGTGGTACTCTAGGGCATCTTACAAACTGACTTACTACACTAACTACATGAGAAATATCCGATCGGATAAGAGTGAGATAATTGAGCTTCCCAACCATCCTGCGATACTGAACCGAATTCTCAAACAATGCACCATTATCCATCAACAATTTTTAATTCAGATCCATAAAAGCATCAATTAGTCTGTCATCCAACAAACTTACTTCTTTTACAATGTCAAGTATATATTTCCTCTGAAATAAACAAATACCCTATTTAGATCTGGCAACCTCAATACCCAAGAAATACCTGAACTTTCCTAGATCCTTAGTGTGAAATCGATCTTACAAGAAGGTTTTTAGCTTAACAATCCCCTCATAATCATTTTCAGCAATTACAATATTCTCTACATAAACTAAAAATAGAATATATCTGGCATCCATCTGTCTATAAAACACAAAGTGGTCTATCTGACATCAAAGAAGACTAAACTCTAAAATTACTTCTAAAAATATAGCAAATCATGCCCTCGGTGACTATTTCAAATCATATAGAGATTTTTTTAACTGACACACTCTTACATTACTCCTTCTGAGCAATAAACTTAGGTGACTGCTTCATGTAGACATCTTCAATCAAATCATCTTGTAAAAAGGTAATCTTAATATCTAACTGAAACAATGATCAATCAAGATTAACAACCAAAGTCAAAAGAGATTTTGCTAACAGAAGAGAAAGTCTCCTCATAATCAACACCATAGATTTAAGTAAAACACTTAACAAGTTAAGCTTTGAGACATTTCACAGAACCATCCGGATTAAATTTAACAATATACACCCAACGATAACCAACAATCTGTTTACCAGGAGATTAAAGAACGTGATCTCAAGTCTCATTATAATGTAAGACATCCATCTCCACTTTCACAACTTTCTTCTAACCCGGATCAAACAACACCCCTTGTAACTAAGTACTTAGAAACAGAGATAATAGATAATTGAGGAGTAAAACAAGAGAAAGTAGGGGACAACGCATCATATGAAATAAAATAAGCAACAGAATGGTTAGTAACACACGATCGAGTACATTTTTGAAGAACAATAAGTAAAGAGTCAAAATTACCTTAGTGACCAAGATCAAGGGACGGTACAAGCACCTCGATAATTGAGGACGAGGAGAGTATATATAAAATGAAAAAATAGATAGTAGCATAGTAAGCAGCGTAATATAATATTCGATAATAAGGAAAAAGGTGTTGTTATAAGGGAATACTCAATCCAGATCCTGAAGCTGAGTAGGTGCTGAAAAATATAGAAGAAATTCATCAAAAGTAATACCAGCACTAATGAAGTACCAACGAAAGAAAGGACTATAACAACGATACCATTCGATGTACGAGGATCCAAAAAAGACACATTTAGTAACACGAGGATCAAGTTTATCAAACTCAAAGCCTAAGTTGTGAACATTAACAACACACACAAAAACCTTAAGGGTTTACTAGGAAAAATGACAGAATATATACTTTATCCATTTAACACAGAAGATAGCATACGATTTATGAGATGACAAGCAATGGGAACATCATCACTCCAAAAACAGCCATAATAAAAATACATATGCACAATGAAAATGATTCCTTCTTTAGTGAGAAACTATGAACTACTACCAAGATGTCTACGAAAACCAAAACGCAAGAGCACAAGAGGCACAATATGGACAAGGAAACATTCATGACACAAGACTCTACACAACAAACATCCACCTAAAACCAAAATCTATCTCAATTTCCCAAATCCAATTTTGCATAGCATATGAATCAAGGTAATCCGTGAGAGACGAATTTCCGAGGCATCAAAATCTCCCACTCTTAACCCAATTAACATCATAACCATTGCCTTGCAATCCATAATTTATCTTGATAACCAAAGGTCGAAATGCATTATGTTCCAAGGAAAACTTCCAAANCTATCTCAATTTCCCAAATCCAATTTTGCATAGCATATGAATCAAGGTAATCCGTGAAAGACGAATTTCCGAGGCATCAAAATCTCCCCCTCTTAACCCAATTAACATCATAGCCATTGCCTTGCAATCCATAATTTATCTTGATAACCAAAGGTCGAAATGCATTATGTTCCAAGGAAAACTTCCAAAACCCTTCCTAATTAAAGCAACATTCCTTGTCATCAAATATCAATCCGAAAGACCACCTCTAGATCTTTCTAGTTTTAGTTACCACCTTCCAAATAATCAAATGATCATTCTTTCCCTCATTACTTTTCAATCCTCACAACCTTCCAAATCAAAAACCATTCCACTCCACCCAAATATATGGTGCGATGCAAACCCATAAAATGGTATGTGTTCTATGGTTAAGAAATCTCATGGAACACACTTAGATTGTACAACTGCATTGTAGCTTGTAATTCAATATCAACTCATCTACCATAAATAGAATGACAAAAAGCAAGCACAACAGTCGATCAACTCTTCGTTCAACTAACAATCAATACTTTCAATCCCTTAGCCCAATTCAATTGACATAACAACACTGTTTAACAAACTAGACTCAACTCAGTCATAATGTTCAAGAGAATCAGAAATAAATCGAGTATCTGCTTCAACACTAAAAACTTACATTCCTGAATCCAACCAAGTTTGAAAATAAACATCTAAACATATCTCCTTTCTACCTCCTAGGTGTCCTCATATCAAAAACAACATCCAACAACAATAATTATGGATGGTCTAGTGTGTTGAAGTATAAATACTTAAAACTTTTGGGATAGATAGTTGTTTATGATATTAGACTAGGAGGTCTTGTGTTCAAATCTCGTTGTCATTTAACTTTTAACAAATTTTAACGTATTAGGTCCAAAATACAGCTTGCACAGGAGAGAGCATATTGAAGTACAAATACTTAAAGTCAAACCCTCTCTAATAGCTTAAGCTTTTGCAATAGATGATTATTTTACATTGTACATCCATTGAGACTTAATGGTTCATCTTACATATTTGTCAATGTTGAAGCACAGTACCATGTCTCCATAGGCATGCAACCCAATGTGCATCCACAGAAGGTAACATACAAGTACAACCCAGCACATACGTGCATGGCGAAGTTATGCACCATCTGACCATGGTGATACCTTCCAACATAGTACCAAAACTATGAAATAATGATAGTTTTGCTTTCTGACAGTACCTGAAATCTGGTGCGAAAGACATTTGGTACATCAGCAAAAATAATTTCCCACATCAGCAGACCAAAAATAGTTAACCAAATGCCACTCTCTGTGTGAACACCATGCCAGCCACCGCCTTCTCCAGAATAATACTGCAAAGCAAGCTGCTCTACTCCACATTGTTCTCCATCTTGACCATAAAATATACTCTTCATCCCTGTTTCACAGTTCAATGGTCTACCTTGAACATGAACCTAACTCGTCATTAGCCAAGAGAAAAAAATAATGTCACTTGGGCAATAGCATAACCCTGGCATTAAGAGGATGAATCTAATGAAATGATTGGCGCCTCAAAATTTAACTGGCACGATGGAGTCAAAAGTCAACATCCAAAGAAATATCACACAAGCAGTTACCTCAGCAATCTTCCGCTTGACAGAGTCTGAATAACTAGGAGTTTTCCAGCGTCTTGGAGGTTTCCCCAAGCGCAGAACCCGCATTTGCAGTGCAACTCTAGAACCAGCACGAACCCATGGATCTAGTATCCCATCTTCAGCAACCGAAAGACTCTCATCAAGACGGCCCACATGCTCCAAATCAATTGACAGCCTGAGAGTCCAATATCCTCTTCTTCGATCAGAAGTAAAATTATTAAGCAACCTCCGGAGTAAATTTATAGCATCATTATACCTGGGAAGGTCAAACAAGCTCATAAGGGATACTAAATGGAAAAACAGGGTGCACAAGAAAGTAAAGACCCGGCGTCTCTATCACAGCAGGTTTTCAATTAAGGATTATGGTTGTATTCTCCCAACATGTCCATGGGTAGGTTAGTGCACACAGACGCGCATTAGAGAGGCGTGCACATAGAAAGGCATTATGCCTGTAAGAATCCTGTACCCTCGTTAAAATATAAGCAAATAAAAAAGAGAAAACGTTTCAAGAGCCTGATCAACCATAGCAGCTATTTGGTGTGCAAATCTGTGTCCATTGATTAAAAAAATCGTGATCATCCAGTAAAGCAGTGTGCATTCTGAAAGTAAAAAATGTTGGCTGCGTACATTAAAATAGGGTACAATGGTAATCTGGTTAACAAAGTTAACGAGCTACAAAGCTCTACATGAGAGAGGCAGATTGTTTAGTGCTCTATCATAATCTCCTCATCCTGGCAGCAAATTTTCACCTACAAACATGGCAAGTATGTTGAAAATTTCAATATAGAGAATGCATATCCGACTCCCATCCGTTCTATGTTTTCTTGTGTCTTAGTTATATCTTCCTTTTGTTCTTCCTTATAAAGCCTCCCCACCCAACCAAAAAATCAAATCCTAATCATAAACTCACTGTTGATTACTTTAATCTAGTACAGTTGATGTTTGATATTACAATAATGTACAGATTGCACGAACTCTTTATGCATGCAAGAAGCCAAACTTGGACATTTGATCATCTGAAGATGTGTTTTTAAAACGGTATGTTATAATAGACATGCTCCATGTAATCAAGTCTTAATTCAGCATGACTAACTTCATCACAGAGGTCTTACTTAGTATCTAATTTAAAAGGAGTTCATTTTTATTTAATTTTAAAATTTCAAAATGTCATATTAGTGAAATCAAACCAAACCAAACTAAGCCTTGTGTCCCAATCATATTAGGGAAGTGGTATGTAAATACGTATAGCTGCTCCTTTCCTGCTGTGGGTCTTTTAAAAATTTCACACTGATGTGTGGAGCAGTAACAAACAAGGGAATAAAATTATGCCCATTTCATATTCCAAAATCAGGAATAAGCCCATTTAGTGGTGGCTCAATTAATGTCTGCAAAAATAGGTGAAAGATTTTTAACTACTATTATCGTTCAAGAGACTCAGACCCTTCTCCTATGGCTGCATGGGACAACCAAATAAAAGAATTGTCTCATTAGAGGTTGTTTTGCACTCACCCTCACAAAGTTCTAGGTTTCCAGCGGTTCCCTTTGTATTTCTAATTATTTCTTATTTTAAAAAGTTCATTGTATGTTCTTATGTTGGTTCTAATTCATTATTAATCTGTTACGTCAGTACCCTGGGTTAAAAAGGTAATCCTTCATCCTATCCGCAAGACATACTTTTCCACCTGAACTATTTGATGAACACTACTGGGGGACTTGCAATACTGCAGACAAGTTGGTAAACATATTTCCCCAGCCTTTTAATCTCAACACCTAATTAATTGCTTTCCAAACTTTGATTTTGGCATATTTTTGCTAATTCTTTGCATTCATCTTGTAGCATTAGAAAATATAGGGTGGTTCTGCTTCCTCCTTCAACATGTGTTACTCCTTCCTTGCTGATTAGGGAAAAGTTGATCCAAACAGGTTTAAGCCCACTGTTTATGCATCACAATCATCCTTCCAGTTCTGGATCATGTAGGCAAAAGGCCCCACATGATTACATACAAATGATGAACTAATCACTAATCACTATCATAGTTTGCACCTATGATCACATCTGACTTCAATAATAGGAGGATGGGACTTACAAGTACTTAGACACTGAAATTCAATTCAAACATGTTCTAAGTTTTTGGCCTTTTACTATGCTTCTATGTGTGTTACTAGGCATCCATTGTTAATATCATCGTTCCAATTCACCCAATCAAAATCAACATTGTTGCTAAAAAAAATACTTGAAACCGAAAGATGAACAACAAGAGAGTCATAGGTACTGAAATGATTAAAAGGGAGGGGTTCTCATTGCAAGATTCAGATCTATACAAGGAACCAAAACACGTTCGAAATAGTCGAAACAGCTAAACATTTCCGTTTCCATGAAAATCGAAACAAATTAGCNTAAAAGGGAGGGGTTCTCATTGCAAGATTCAGATCTATACAAGGAACCAAAACACGTGCGAAATAGTCGAAACAGCTAAACGTTTCCGTTTCCATGAAAATCGAAACAAATTAGCGATATGAATATCGACATTTCGATGTTTGGACATGTTTCAATCAATTAATTGGAAAGTTCCACAAATAAATTTCCAAATTTTTTCTTTGCCTCATAACATCCAACTTTTTTTGTCTCCAAATGGAGAGCTCGCCCCAGGGTGAATTTCTTGATTCCTAGCTTCATCATGTTTCTAAATTATTTCTACAGTAAAATGAATGTAGTTTTACACTATGAATGCATTCATATGATGCTGGTGAGCACTTCATTGGTATTAGGAGACTAGAATATCCTCTTAAGTGTATTGGTTTAATGAAAATGAAGTGTTTAAAATTAGTTGAAGTGACTTCTATCTCATTACCTTTTTTTTTTTTTTTTTCATTTTTCCAACTTGATCTTATCTATTATAAATGGATGTTAAGATAATAAGCATGTTCAATTATTATTAATGCTCCCGAAACATTTCTAAAATGTTTTTGTTACGAGCTAATCGAAACTATACACAGAAACACATTTTTGATCCTTGGATCTATACTTAAAGAATCATTCAAAGCGGTAAAAAATGACCATTACTTCCCAGCGTCCATACACTCCATACCTTTGCGCATGCTCAAGAAAGGAAACACCTAACATAACCACCTTAGAGTAGACCCACAAAGCAGAAAAGCATGATAAAAATGGAATCTTTAATGGGGAAGTTGATGGATAGGTTGCCTTCAGAGAACTGGAGATGCAGGAGTCAGCCATCTCTATGCATCTTAATGCCAACTCAGAGTTGTTTTCATCAAGAGATTCATCCATAATTTGTGCCACTTCAATGGACTGCACCAATAAACAGTAAGTTGGTAACAGCAACATACTTCTCCAGCATTTCACACAAAAATCAACAATACCTCTTCATACGAAAGCAGGTCACTTTGACCTGAAAATATATGGTCTAAGGTTATACAGTTGTAAGTAGGATACTTGACAATTCCCAAGTCCACAAGCAAAAATGCTGAAAGATCCTGCTCTCCGTTCAGAAAGAAAAGCCTCTGCATGAAGCCACAAACTAGAAGAGGATTAATTATATGTAAAATTATATTTACAAGTTCAGAAGCTTAAAGCAAAGTTCTGAGAACTCACCTCAGCACGCCAAATAAGGGACTCGGCCATTACAGACGTTTGAACACAGGCTCCAGTTTTCTTCAAAACTATACTTTGGAGAAGCGGGCTGCATGATCAATAATTGGAATAGAAAACACACTCAGCAGACTGACAACACAGACTCAGCAGATTGACAAACTCGAAAACAAATCCTTACCATAATCCCTTGTCATAAGCTGAAAGAAGCGAACCAATAAAATCTTGCTTTCTCGTACCACGACTACATTTCTGAAGTCCCAACCGAAGAAGGGAGGGAAATATGAGCAACCAAAAATATACTCAAAACCATTTCAAATAGAACGACATTTTCGCAATTAAATAAGATTATAAGTCCAAAGAAGAAAAGAGAAATCACAGCTAAAAATCTATGGCTAATTGGTTATTAGNATAAGATTATAAGTCCAAAGAAGAAAAGAGAAATCACAGCTAAAAATCTATGGCTAATTGGTTATTAGCTCATCCATCAATGTAGAGAAAACTTTTAACTAAAGGGAACAGAGTAATCAGCTTCTGCATGTCCATTACAATTGGGATGAATCATAACTTTGACTACTAAATTAGCCTATTAAACTTGCCATTTTCAATGGGTGTAGGAGGAACACAATAACCATGCATGCAAAAATGTAGACAGCATTTTAGCAAAGGCTTTGCCTAAACAGGCTCTGCAGAGCTGGCATCAGGCCCAGGAAAGTGATGGCAGTGATAAATTTGTCACTAAGTGCAACTAATCTTCTGACTAACAAACAATTCAAGACTGGAAAAACTGAAACATATATGCTTAGCACTTGCCTAGGATGGTTTTATACTGTAGTTAAATACACTGAAACAACTTCGATGCACAAAAATGATACTAAAGAGGGAGAAAAAAAATGCTTCCAAAATTATGATCTCATAAATATGAACATTTCTGGTTGCAATTATTAATCAAACATACCGACTATGCATAAGTGATGTCCTTGTTCGGAAAATGGATGAGCAAAAAAAGTGTGCATCGTGATATGGATACATTGACCTGCACACTGATGTTGATAGGCACATTTAAAAGTTCCTAGGTATTAGGTAGGTATGCGTATGCCTGTGGTAACAATGCACACAGATGCACTCCAGCAAGTGTGTATGGATGTATGGCAGACAACTCTGTGTGTGTGTACTGTATCCTATCAAGCCTAGCCATCTCATGCTTACCCTAGTTGCCTGGAACCCTGAAGATGCCCCCTTAAAATATTCATCATTGCAAAAGTTAATTGACAATATATTAGTTTCATCACTAGAAAAGGGAAGAGAAGAGAAATCAAATATAGAATGGAATAAAAGATGAGAAGGAAGAAGAAAGTTTACTTGCATGCTTTTAACTTTTCCATCCATGCACAGGAGAAAAAATATTTTAAAAAAAAATCCGGGCAAGATACACAATCTTATTTCAATTTACGTTAAGAATTCTCAACCCACCTAACACTCACTACATTTGCCTCTCAATCTTTTTACTTGAGGGTGAAAAAGTAATCTCAAGAAAAAATATTTCTTTGGATCCCTCAATCTATGCCTTTCTTTCCTCATTGAGCAAACAACTAGAAGCAAAATTAAATTAACCATTTCTATCCTTAATTACTCAAGGGCAAACATGCTATGAAACTAATATTAATATGGGTATTGTCGAAGTACAAATAATTAAGTTACACCTTCTCTAACAACTTATACTTTTGGAGTAGATGATTGTTTAACATAGTATTAGAGTCGAAGATCCTATGTTCGAATCTCGCCGTCATCCTAATTATTAAAAAAAAATTCACATGCTAGGCCCAAAATCTAATCTAAAATCTTAGCCAGCATGTGAGAGGGTCGTGCTAAAGTATAAATATTTAAGTTACACCCTCTCCAACAACTTAAACTTTTAGAGTAGATGGTTGTTTAACAGGTATTCTGCCCTTCTAAATTTATATATGTACCTTCACATAAAAAGAGTATCAGTTGCATTCTCCTCTTCTTGTTCATTACATCTTGAATTTTGTGCCTCTTCTCTTTCCAAGTACTGAATCAATGTGAGTGTTCATGAACTTCTGCTCTACTATGGACTCATCTGATTTTTATCAGGGCATCATTCTAAGTATTTGGGGGCCATACCTGCAGTGTTTTCATTATTGAATCTAGTAGCAGCCTTGGAACATTTAAATATCTCACAAAACATGTTTTAGTTGTGAAGAAAACTTAATAGGTTCCCTGGGACCAAAAAAACCTGGGGCACACAATTTGCATTTTCTATGGTGCTCATTTTTTAAAGTGGTACCCTATCTAGACAAGCTGAAATGCTCACAATCAACCAGGACATTTATCATCCAGCTATGCGTCTTTTTGTTTTTTTTATGCAATATAGTGCTACCCTTGGATGCAAGATTAAAGCAAGGCATGAATTGCAGAGGCGGGTAGCATCATCATCTCTAAAATTGTATTTTTGTCCCTGTTCTTCATATCTCTATAGTTACCATTCTCATGACAAATCCTCAAAATGATCATCGCAACTTCCATTTCATTTGAAAATTCTAATGATGCCGAAATTTCATAAATTCCCCAGAAGGGGCAAGAATTATTTCCGTTTAGTTAACTTACAGAAGCTGTTCTAGGAAAGAAAGAGATGGACAGACATCAATGATCATCCTATCATACATTGATGATAGAAATCATGAACTAATCCCTCCTCGTTCCCTCTATGCTAATTAGCTTGAAAGCTATCTGTTATTCTGTTAAAAATCTAGCATGTAATGCCTGTGGAAGAGAGAAGAGAAGGTGATAAAAAGAAACATGGTGGTGTTCTGGTTGCTATTAAACCAGGAGATCGGTAATGTGTGCAAGAATGGGTTCAGGGGACTACCAAGATAGATTGAAGCAGGTGATGATGTCAATGGTGTGTTGCCCGGGATTGTAACAGAAAGGCCAGGTTTGGTGGTCCACATGTGACTACTAAACATCTATTTTTGACATCTTAACCAAATTAATGCTAATGCACAATTTAGTTTTACTAATACTACAAAACCATTTTCATTTTTATGGCCTCATCAACTTTTTATAAGATGGCACTAACAGCTAAATGGATAGCGCGAGTTTCAAGTCTAAAACCCGCCACTTAATGGCCTCTTAATGTGAATAATGTGTGGCCCGTATCTGTCCACACAGTAGGTCTCTTGCTGTGTAGTCATCAGAAGCCAATTAGTCACTTTAGGAGCATAAACTATGTATTCACCCAAATTTAGAAGGAATACATCCATAACACTCCATTAGTGCACATTTCACATGCAAAAAACAAAGAACATAGAAACATACAAAAAGCCAAAGCAAGGTTTTTTTTAGGTTTTTAGATGAACAAACCATCAAGCTCAATTGTCTGTAACTTATTCTCTCAAATTGATCAATCATTGACTAGATTGTCATGAACAAATCAGAATTGAATGGTTTAGAAAAAGAAAAATAGCAATACTCGGATAAACTAGATAAACCATGTGATAGTGAACCGTACAAATCCAATTCTGAAATCAGGATTTTTTTGCTCATTTTCTTCATAATAAGTGAAATAATAATCATAGAGAGAATTATACTAGAAAAGCCATGAAAATGTAAGTCCTAAACCTTAAACCCAACCTTTCCAGAAAAAAAACTGAAACCTAACAGTTGAGGACATTAACTCTCTGTGGAGCACGCAAAACTGGAAACAACTAGACAAACATGCTGGGAATGAATAGCATCACTTCTTCTTTTCTTTTTCGGTCACAATTGTTGTTGGAATGAGTGGCCACATAGCCCTCAATGTTTTAATTATTGGAGGATTAAAATAAATACATAAATAACGTCTTAATTGTATATATATTTGTTCAATTAAAATTGTTGTATTTGACTAACGTTTGTAGTGTTTTTAATTTTGCATATATTGATTTTATTACACACAAGGAAGACAATGGGTGTGATTGGCCAAGTTGGCTAAGAAGTTTCATTTGGTCACACTATTAGGTGTAATCCCACTTAATATGAGATGTGCATGTGGATGGAGGTAAGGTGGTTATATCTGATAGGCGCTTCTCTCCTAAAGTGGAGGAATTGTTATACACAATGGGTGAGTAAAATAACCACCCACTATGTAAATTTTTGAGAGTTGATGTCTAGCATATACTTGATACTGTGAGTAAAATAACCACCAACTACCGAATTTGTTGGGATTAGTTTCCAACATATACTTTGAGTCTATTATAAAAGAGGCCCAAGTGGAGGAGAAAACCCATTGCAACCCAATCACTAATTCCTTTTAACGTTTATTCTCCGGCTTCAATCAAAGAAAGACTAGTGGTGCAGGCCAAAGAAATAATTCGTTTTTGTTTCAGAACATATTAGAAAGCTTCGGCAAAGACGACTTGGATCCAGTTTAGTCAACATTTGTGTCATCAAATGATGAACCCATACAGAGGTATGAATCACGCACAAAAGGGGATGTGGCTGAAACGTCTCAATATATACAAGGACAGTTTTCACACAAAGTAACCTATGCATGCCAGTATACATAGAAAAATCATAGATGACCTTAGGAGAAAGTATAAGACGAACCTCATTAAGCATACACAAAATTTCACGTAGTTCACTAACGGTAAGTACATTCAGAACCTCCTTTAACTCATTCTTTTGTAGTTCTTTTATGGATTCAATGGAAGAAATATAGCCTGCCGCTGTAATGTAAGATGAACAACAAACTTCCATCAAACGTAAAGTTGCATCATCAACCACTAAAATTACTGATAGCATGGCATGTACCACATAAGATCCTGAAATAAAGGAATTGACTTACCAGAGAGGTCCTTAATAGCTTGTTCGCAATCCAATACTTCGGGGTAGGAAATATTAGACCTCCGAAACCATGGCCCTGGATTACACAAATTAATTTAGAAATATACCCAGCTTATGAGATAAAAAATGCTCATATTTCCAAATAGCTTATATTCGTGCTGGCCTGCTGGGTGTAAAAGGAACACATAGTGAGCATGAAAAATTCATAACACCAAGACATCAGACTGAGGCAAAATGAATAGTAAATATCAGACCTTTCCGGGAATAAAGCCGCACAAAAAGCCTCTGACTATCCTCTAAAAGTGAGGTGAAAGTTCCTGCCAACAGATATAACGTCATGGTAATTCTGTGATCTGATACCACAATAGTAATAATATAAGGGACCACATAGTCGAGTAGTTACCCAAGAAATTTTTTTCATCATCTGTGAAAAGATGAGGATCACTCCTTAAAACTTCTTGTATTAACACTATGAAGTTCTGCTGATATTTTGGAACGCTAGGTGGATGATTCTTAGCTGATTCAGCCACACATAGAGCATGTTTCCATAAGCGCTCGAGTGCATGAAGATTGTCACAATCTCTTTCACCACAGCGTAGCTTATCTTGACACACAATCTGAATTGGAACCACAGCTGAAGCATGTTTTGGAACAGAAGTGATTGAGCCCTGCAGGATATTGTACAGTGGAACATTATTAGAACTAAATCTAGTGATCTGTGCAAGAATTGTTAACTTTGATCAATCATAAAAAAAATAAGAGAAAGAAGAAGAGAATATTATTAAGGCACAATAAGCCAAAACAACATAAAAGAAAAACTACTATATAAGAAGTCTTTATACAGTAGGGTAAAATGAAAACAAACAGACTAAACTAGGGCCACATAAAAAGAAAACAAATAACTAAACTACCCCCAAGTTTATATATGCTAATTACTCTAACACCATCCCTCAAACTCATGATGTGGTGGTAGAAAACATCAAGAGCTTGTCAAGAAATAAACGAAAGCAAGTAATAGGATGCGACTTTGTGAAGAAATCTGCTAACTGCATAGTAATCAAAACAAAGGGGAGGAAGATAAATCAACAATAACTTTTGGAACATGGAGCTCCTCCAACACATACAGTCCTCCCTTTCTACGGCCTATCCCAATCAACTTGTTGTTTGTAGATGCTAAAAGACCTAAGGTAAATGAACTTACTGAAGAAGATACTGTAAAGGCACTAGGCTAATAGAGAGAGATTAACTTCTGTAACTGATCACCAAGCATAGTTAGACTAGGGGCCTGTGAGGAGGACTCATCCTCCAGTGTGGCAGCTGCTGCTGAATGACGATCTTGAGGCTGAAATCACCAATTTAGGGTATTGAGCCTTCCAGTGGCCCTTCCCATGGCAGAAGCTACACGACCCCAATATTTATTTTGTGAACGACAAGTCACCGTGGGAGGCACAGCCAAAACAGTCTAAGTAGGCAATGGAATAAGACCTTTCTCAGAAAGAGTCTTAAGACAAACTTTTCAGTTAGAAGCTCATTCACTACTGCATCAACTAAAAAAAGTGGATTACGATGGAGAATAGAACCACGAAGTCCCTCAAAGTCATCCCTGAGGACCATCAAAAATTGCACTAACCGTGCTCCTCTCTAAAAGTGCGATACATCATATGAATACTCAGTTCAACAAGTACTAATTGATCCCAATATCCAGTTATAACCGAGTAGAACTCTTGGATGTTCTTATCACCCTGACGTGCAGCTTGAATTTCATGCTCTAATTGATACTTTTTTGCAAAATTAGACTAAACAAATAAGGTAGTTAAATAATCTCAAATCTCCTTGGTTGTGTTAAACTTAGTCAAATGAACACCAATGATCTGATCAACTAAGTTGTTAATCTAAGTGATAATTTTAGAGTTGTTGATTTCCCAAATATTTTTTAAGACAACATATTTCTCGACCTTAGGATCAGTTGGAGCTAACAAATCACCACTAACATAACTCCACATTTCCTTACCCAACAAGAAATTTTTAATAACATAAGCCCAATATACATAGTTCTCACATTTTAATTGACATAGATAGCTTGAAGAGAATTAGAATTTTCACTGATCATAATACCCAAATCAAGCAAATATTAAAATAAACAAATAGCCCAATGACCAAGCAAAAGCCAACAGCCAAACAACCTAACACCCAAATAGCAATTAAAGGCCTAACAGAAAACCAAAGTCCAACAAAAACCACCAGCAACAATGCTCAACAAAATAAAACCCAACAAAAAAAAGAAGAAAAGTCAAACAATAACTAACCCCAAACCAGCAGTAGCCAAAATCAACAAACCCTAGTAATTAGGATTTCTTACCTTGCAACGAGAAACACCAGCAGAAGAGAAGAAGCAGTAAACCCAACAACCAGAACGAGCAACATATGCAACAATTGGTTCAGTGAGGAAAACCTAGGAACGAAGGCACAAAAACAGCCGGCCGACACAGAGGGGAGCACAAATCCAATCACAAAACAGAAAAAAGAAGGCACCAGCGAAGCCAAGAGAGACCTCCCTAGAACAAAAACCAACTAGCAGAAACTAGAACCAAAAGAAACCAGAACGAGCAACATATGCAACAATTGGTTCAGTGAGGAAAACCTAGGAACGAAGGCACAAAAACAGCCGGCCGACACAGAGGGGAGCACAAATCCAA